TGTATCGAAAAAGACACAAGGATCGTCTAAAAAATCACCCAAATCCTCTTATAGCAGAGTTGTTGGACCCATCGAAAGTGGTGAAGAGGTTGAAAAGAGACCACATACTTAATTAGTAGAAGCGGAGTTGACCACTTCACTAAACCAATCTCCATCTACATCAACAAATTCGCTTATGGTCTTGCGACCGATCGCACGATCGAAAACAGCAATATTAAAAAAAAATAAAAAAATAAAAAAAAAATAAAAATTATATATTTACATTTTACATTAGAGAAATTAAAATGTTTGTACACACACATTACACTTAATAAATTGAGTATCATCTGTTAATATAACACAGTTGTGAAAATATTGAGTATTGAGGTAACCTACTCTAACAAATAAAATTTTGGTAACCGATTTTCATAGTAAGCATTAATAGAACAAAATTTTAATACTAACTCGAGGAATTATTCTGCTTTGGATGAAGGATAATGCTGAAGTTTATGTGGGACTCTCCTCGGCGGACCTACCCGGAAGGCCTAGTTAAAGAGTAGCCTCAATTTAATCAAACTATTATTTGTTTTGAAAAATGGATAGCTGACGAAATAACTTTCATGTAAAAAAAAATAAAGCTGTTGGCAACATTGAAGGCAAGCGTTCAAGAGATAATGAAGTGATTATAGGACAATAAGTTTGGTAAAAAGGTTAAGAACCCAGTGCTGTTAAAACAATAAAAAAATAAAATTAAAAAGCGTTTAAGAGATTTACCGATTACCAAACCCGATCGACAGATCAAATAAAGAACTTCTGTCGTCAAGTTCTACAAGATCGTTGATGCGATAGACAGAATAAGAAGTCGATGGGGACGAAAAGTCCAATCCAAATGTGAATTATTCTACACAGACCACGATCTTCAGTCATGAGGGGCCGACTACAGTGATAATAAAAGAAATAAATTCTAAATAAGTTTAATCACAATAATTAAAGTAATGAAAACTTAATCATATTGTCTAACATTGTCGCATAAATATACATAATTTTTTTGTCATTTGTTTAAAGCGATATTATCGATACAAATTTAGAACATTGATACTAAATTTTAAAGATTATTTCTGCAATGTCAGTACATGAATTATTTTTTTTTTATAGAAAAAAATTACAGACTTACCTCTCAAACAGACCATTTATTCAATTTCTATTTGTAATTATATTCTTTTATCATAGCTAAAATTTATAAACACATATACTACAGTATGAACTGTAGTCGAGGAATGGGATTAAATATTTTTACAATAATTTTAATGGCTTGTGGGTAAGTAAATAGTTTTTATTTTGCAATACGTTTTACTTCGTCACCGTGGCTCGTTGTTGTCTACTTTATACGAAGCCTATGAATAGTGAATAGAGATTTATATAAATTGTCCCGAATGGGCACTTGAGCATTTGTAAGTCTGAGATTGATATTGTGTCTAGCCGCTTTTATGTCCTGATTTTGCCAAGAAAAAGTTATATTTGACTGGAAAGTTTGTTTGTTCAAGATGGCGATGAATTTATCACATCAGTGTTGACATCAAAAAGAGTTGAGCTGAAGAGTGATCTGAATAAAAGAGTCAGGGGGTATTAATTCTATGATTTATATTTCTAAGCGCTTTTGGGAAATACGTTAATATCATTAATGATTTTCACGGCCCAGTGGCTTGTACGTCGATTTCAAGGTGTCGTCATACCTGAGGTTCCGGCTTCGATGCTCGGTTGTATTGTCATAGAAAATTGAGTTTTCTATATTGTCTCGGGTGTTAGTGTCGTGGTACTTTAGTTGTATCAGATTGCCATAATAATTACTTTAGCTACTTGATTAGGGGTCATCCATAAATTACGTCACACGATTTTCATGATTTTTTTGCCCCTCCCCGTCCTAGTCACAGCTGGTCACATTTGTAAGACTCCCCCCTCCTAGTGTGATGTCACATATTTTGCAAGGTTTTTGTAAAGTAATAGTTTAGAATTCGTGTTTTAACACTAAGATTATAATATATTTTGAAATGTGAGGTCACAAAATTTAGGACTCTCCCACCCCCTTGTCACACAATGTCACACTTCGTCGACCCCCTCCCTCCCTCTTAACGTGTGACGTAATTTATGGGTAGCCCCTTATGAACATAAGAAATGTATGTGAAATTGTCTAATATTTATTGATTTTATTATGTTATTGGAAACTGAGCAATGATTTTCGTTCAGAGTATTTAATTTAAAGTATAATTTATTATATTAACGTAACTGGTCCTTATTCGATCCATAGGGTAAGCCTTAGTCCCAGCAGTGCAGCGCAGACGTTAATAAGCTGGTGATGATGATGATGAATTGGTCTTAGTGAATCAGTAACCTAAAAATATTCGTTCAGGCAAAGAACTATATCACTCGGATATTTCTCCTTATATCAGTGGACTTGATGTGACTCTAGTCTGCCCCCTTGTTGTCAGTTGGCAACAAATATTCTGGCAAACTGTATAAAGAATTGTTACTTGTGAAATGGTTGAAATAGCCGATAGCTGGAAGAAATATTATCTGTTACTAACTTGTGACTGCGACCCGGTCTGCGTGGATTTACTCTTTTCTGTTTCTTTGTATATAATATAAAGAAGTATATTTTTTCCAAGCTTTCATCATCTCTATTATTTAAAATTATAATAAAAAAAAACTAATGCACGGTTTTAACGCGAATAGCTAAATCGAAAACGTATCTATAAATAAAATTAAATAAATTAATGATTTCAAATAAACCTTCCCATAATCTCATGCTATTTCTACACCTACCAAACTTCATCTAAATCCTTTAGCAGTCTAAGCATAAAAACGTTACGACGTAAGCTTTGCTTACATATTTGATTGAGTTATTTTTCCATTTATAATATTAGTAAGGATTTTTAGCTCTACTCTTCTCGTTTTGTACCATAATTTGACGATACGACCATAATTTGCATCGTTTTAATATAATATACTAGCTTTTCCAGCGACATTGCCTTCATAAATTATAGATTAAGTAACCGCCTATGATGTAGATTTATGAATTTTCTTGATCTGATATTTATTTCCGAAGTTTATCTCCTACAAACAAAACAAAGAAGGTTAGAAACTAACCTCATTATTAGCTATTTAAATTGGTTCATCGTTGCGTTAAAGCAGGGGTGGAAAATATTTTGATAGTTGGGCCACATTACAAATGAAAATTTGACCTCGGGCCAAACAGTTTTTTTCATATAGTAAGCAAGTCGATCAAACTTTACTTGGAATTGCAACAATTAATTACAACGGACAAAAAGCCGCTGTTTTATTTTAATTTTTGAGAAAATTATTTCAGACTCTTCGAATTGAAAAATACGAGTATGTTACGCAAATACATTAGTTTCAGTTTCATTATTTCTTATGTGTTTTACGATGCATGCACTCTCAGTAGATCTATAACTGCTTTTATTTCGTTTACCTAATTTTCGGTGTATTTTGGGATCTAGTAAGAACTATCATTAAGGGTAGTAGTTGGATCGCGATTGACTTTCGATAATTACGTCACATGGTTTTGTCTAATAATTACTTAATGCAAGATTTGAATGAGACTGCCATATCCAGTGATTATAATATGTGTAGTCTCATATGGAATCTTAATGTGATCAAAGCTTCTACGTACTATTAAGTTTAAAGTTTCATGAACTCACACATACTAAAGGCATACCAAGATGAGTCCGCTCCGATTATCCCATGCATTGTAGTACTGTGGTTTAATTCTAACACAATACCAGGTACGTTCCCACATAACACGCGTCGATATGCGTACAGACGGACCAACTTTCACTGATAGCCCTAGGATGTGTGGATTTTACGTGACGCAATCATCTAGCAATGAAATGAGATCGTGCGATGTATTTGCTTAGGATAGGATTACATATAAAATGGAGATGGGACGATATCTTAACGTATAATATGATTGCACTAAACATTTCCTTGTAAAGAAAATACTCTTCATAAGCAGTTTCAAATGAGATACAAAACAGATATATTATTTTATAGAAAAAAAATTACAAAAAAATATTTTTGTTAATACACAATACATGCTATCGATCCCAACACTGTGAATGCAACATTGATCAAATATAATAATAAGGTATATTTTTTGTTTTATTTATAATATGCTGAATACTGCTTTGCAAATTAGTATGCTTTTCCCTTTTCTATGCGAGTCATAATGTTGTATTTTAATTGTTAATATTATTTAAATTAGTTTAATATGTTTCATATATTTTAAAACACAACTTTTTAAATTGTAGAAGTGCGCCGTTCAGTTCAGCCATCTCAGCTTAGTGATGACGGAGTCTAGATCAGAAACGTTTGAAAATCTATAAATAAATGCGTTTAAACCTGTGTACAATTTATTTTATTTAACAATTCTTTTGTACACTTTTGTGATCATATTAAGTCAAGATATAATTTTAAAAAATTTAAGGAACCACTGATTTTGATTTTAACTTTATATAATATGTGAAAATCGATAGAAACATACCGGTAAAAGACTACTTCTTTGTATTCTAGTGTAGTACTCTTAAAATAGCTTCGAAGGCAGCGTTGAGGAGAGTGCTGTCACAGCATTAGAGGTTCAATGAAATAAAATCTACTTTTGAAGGTAATAAAGGGGGTTGTCTTTGATGTTGTATATTGCTCACGACATTCACGACGTTTATTGTTCTATACTAGGTTTATACTCTATATATTTGATATACATTTTTTTTTGAAAACCATATATGTGTAATTAAAATTATTTATAAAAATATAATAAATGTCAGTGGGCAAAAAACAAACATAATAGCAAAACTGGTGGTTAGAAACAGTGCCACAAAATTTAGCAATGTTTGCTGATATAGAAATAGATAAGTATAAAATAAAGTTAACTTTTAGATTTATTTATGAAAATCAATCAATATAAATTAGAAATTCCTTATACCAAAAATAATTAAAAAACGATTGTTCAAAAACATTTTTATTTCGTCTTTCAATACAAATAACTTACAAAAATTACGTACATTATTACAAATATTTTGTACACATTTCAAGATCATTTAGTTCGTCATTTTACAAGCTGTGTTTACATAATTACATAATTTATAGAGTATTAAAGCGCCTTACTCGTTTATTTGATTTATTTTATTGTCTATACCTTTGTGATAATACAACATAATATACAATATTTCAATTGAGCATATTATTTTTCCTAAAAACAAACATGAAGTAATTATTTAAAGTTTTGAATCAAAATGGTGAAATATGAAATTATAAATTGTTTACTCAACACGTAAGGCATTATTTACAATATTATTTTGAACACACGTAATACAAAAAATACATTACATTTGTACTTATAATTCAATTTACAATTTTCATTATACTAAAAATCAAAATAACTTATGCGTCTAAGTGGCAAAGTGGGATATGTCTTAAAATTACTTTATTAAACAAGATATGATTTTATTAAAAAGCGTAAGATATGTCACTCAATTAAGTAAGCGAATATTATTGCGATTTATATATTACTTCCAAATAATTTAAAGCTGATGTTGTATATTATTTAACAGCTATATTTCTATCAGGCCCTGCTAAAATGAAAAGAGGCGAAGCGACGTCCATTATTACGCAGCAGAAAGGTGTAATCGATCGAATGACATACGTAACACATTTAAAAGCGATTAAACCCTAAATCACCACCAACAAATTTGTCGAAAACCATATTTCTTTGATACGTCGTTTATTGAAGCTTTTGTCAAAAGCGGACACCCACCCGTGTCGTCGTCACAACACAATTAATGACACGCGAGCATCCTGACGACACCTGGTTTTACAAATTCATTTCTTACACCTTTCTCGCGAAATGTACCATTTGGTTCGATTCGTAAATTCGAAAGCAAAAGTTACTGGAAGACATACAATATTCATGTTTTAACAGTTGTCTTAAAATACTATGGCTTTTAGGAGCTATGAAAGTATAAGTCAGTCTTTTTATCGGAGATGTCACTATGAAGGTTCATGGGGCACAAACAGAACCCAAGATCACGAGATGATACAGTTCTTATCGTTTTGGGCATTTTTCCTTTGTCTCTCACGTTTAGCACAGGCCACCGCGTCGTTAGGCACGTATGATATTCTAACTCCACCATATGCTCTTCTAGTGGGCAAAGTATAAGATTCTGCAGAGGACGATGACGATGAGCACGTGCTGCAATAACTGCTCGCGTCATCATCTCGCACCTTCTCTCTTCTGACGGGCTCGTCGGGCTCGAACGCTTCATTGTCGTCTCCACAGAAACGAACAGTCCTCCCTCCCCTAGGTTTCCTCGATGACTTACTATCTACTAAAGTTAATTCTGGCATCGAGGACGAATGTCCAGGAGTCACTACAGCTTGAGCTTCGACCGGATGTGGGGGTTTCCAGCCTTCTGGTGTTTCCTCATCTCTGTGTTCTTCCGAAGTAGGCGTCGGTTGTATTTGGTGTTCCGTTATGGACTGCTCTAAGCGAAGGTCTGCTAATGCCCTGTCGAGACTGAGGCAAGCATGTGGCGGAGGTGGAGGGTGGGGTGATGGGGATTCTGGTGCTAAAGAACAGCTCGGCTCTGAATCTGCGTCGATTGGAGGTGATGGTTCTCTCTGCGGTGTTCGAGGTGGGGATTTTGGCGATGGAACTCTTCTCGGGCGTGAACCTCTTGCCATCCGTGGACCTGGCCCAGAGGAGTCGGAAGGTGTGGGAGGTTCGCCTTTTGAGCAGGCTATAGAACAGAAAATGGCTCCCTTGCGAGGTAAAAAGGGACGACCAAGGAGGCTAGCCCGGCAAGTGTGGCAAGCGAAACATCGTTCGGTAGCGTGCCAGTGTTGACCCTCGTGAGACATTTGTCCTTGGTCGACGCCGACGGGCTCGCCGCAAGCATCACAATATTCGGCGAAGCAACCATCGAAGCAAGGTAGGCAGTAGGGCCGGGCCTCTCGCATGATGTACCGTTGTCCACCCAGTTGCTTCGAGCACTCGGCACACGCGAAGTGTTTCATGTGCCACGCCCGTCCCTCCGCTTCTGTGCATTCATCCGCAAGGATTATCTGAGGACAAAATTCTTCAGTTACATATTGATAGAAATTCAATTAAATAACAATGTCCGAGAATTTTTGGCTTGACTTTAAAGGCTTAATATGAAGTATACGACGCTAAATCCATAATGTTTTTTTTTCAGTGTCATTACTTAACACGGTTCCATATTGCGTGTGAGGTGAATGATAAGGTTTGTCTCGTGACCTCAGTGAAAATTAGCTTTATTAACCAAGGAGGTCAAATCAGTCAGTGGTCAAATCAAAGTAATATCATATTAAATCAAACTTGTATTTTATATCTATGATGCGAACCATATGATATCATTAATCATGAAACCTATTCCCAATTAGGCTATAGCCCAGTAATTAATTAGTCGGATAAACAAGCTTAATTAAGCATTATTATTCATCGTTGTTATCATTGGCAAAGCTCGAGGTTCCGTGCTGTCGACCTCAAGAAAGTCGCCGCTTGTAACAATGTGACCGTGGGAACGGTTCCCACAGTTGGGGCTACATTTTGTTCGTTCATTAGTGGAGTGGTCGCCCATTATTAATATTTCAAAACGGTATTTTGTGTCAAGAGATGCGAGTGAGTGACGAGCTCGCCCGGTCACCTGTTGCGTTGCACGTTGGTGCTTAAGATTTTGGTGTATGAGTACACGTGCTGCGTGTTAGATCACAGTCACTGGTATGTTATACGTATCTTGATAGGTTCTTATTGTTGAATTTGAATTACAATGTGACCATTTTGGATTGGGTAGATTGTTCTTAATTTTCCGTTTATCTATAGCTGCTTAAAAAAAGTTTATGAATTAAAGGGTTTCTTTTAATGTGTGCAAAGTTTAAAAAATTTAGATTTTTTTCTATAATGTACAGAATTTCACATTACAACACTGATATCACTCAGGTTCTCACTCATTCTAGCTTTGTGCATTTGAATTGCTCCATGAGAGTATACGGTATCTGCTACATTATCAGTCTATGCAACACTTTAATTGTCTGTCTGTAGATCAGCAAATCTAAATTCTTTGATTGCAATTTCGCGTTTGAACTGTTGGTTGGATTGTTTTTGTTACTGATGACATTTTCCAATATTTTTGCACTCGTCTAAAAAAAATATGGGAGTGTGAGTGTATAAAATGATTTGCATCACACAGACACTAAAATGACACATTTTTTCATAACATAAGGCGCACAATTATAGAGGCTTTGTTAATGATTATTAGTTTGGTTAGTCAGGATAATTTCTGTTCTTAATAAATAAATGGCGTAACTAATGGAGTTTCGTATGTGTTACAGGCTTTTTTTTACTGTAATATCATTGGTTATAGGATAGTTGTGAAAATTCGTAATTGCACATAAATCGTAGGAAACCGATAAGTATAGACTTATTTAGGAAATGTGTGAAATGGTAACTCTCATATTAATTACACTCTTTTCTAGGACACAAACACAGAAAAGTGTATTAGTACTTATTTTGATAAATTATATTTCATTTAATTCTTTGATTGAGACATCGAAAGGCAGTCGTATATGGAAAAATATATATTTTTTCATATATGTCGGAATTATTTTCGGATTTTCATAGAGTCCCTAGAAATTGTTTAGAATTTCTGATTCATACACTTCTTACAACTTCTGTATAAACAGATGTATACAAGTTATCGTTTTCCTTTATAAATGTAGATCGTGTCTAACATTATAGTAGTACTAGACTCCAAAATTTAACATAGTACATTTTCCTGGTAATTATTTTAGATATGTACTTCCTATGACGTCCTTTACGTAGACCGTTTACATAAAGAGCGCTGATCAGGTATTACGACATCAATAAAACAATTAATAAAGAGGAAAACCAAAACTTTTGTGTACAGTTTAAGTCATTTACGTTAATTGAATAAATCATTGCATTTGTTCTAAATGACATTCAACGTAAGCATTCAACAATGATAAGCATTTAACAACAATATCATTTAAATATTCGTTAGAGGATTTTGTTGTTTTTTAAATTTTTCATTGAGTAAATATGGTAAATATATTTGTTTTTAAAATTATGTGCCATAATGTTATTTTTATGAGATATCAGTACACTTTAGATGCAGTAAACTTTTAGTTGACAACAATTATTTTCATTAGGTATGTAGTTAGTTCGAAGTCGAGCACGGGCTATCTCAACATAGAGGTTCAATGATTAAAAACGGTATATTACCTTATTTGATCGTACGTCCTATCCTATATCATAGTACTGTGCACGAAATCGAGTTCGAGGCTGAGTTTATTACTGAATTGCGCTGCTGGACAACTTGACTAGTTAGTTTTTTCTAGCCTTTTTGTATGTGTATTTACGTTTTTATTGATAAAACGTAAAACATGGCCTTTTTTATTAACCGAATTCAAAATCCAAAAGGAGGAGTTCATATGTTCGACGGCGATATATGTTCTTTTTTTATTAATGTTCACCGATATTTAGGCCAATTTTTTACCGATATTCAAAATATTTTTTTAATTCGATAGCTCTATGGATCGGGGTGTTCCCGTTTAAATTTGATCGAAATTAAATCAGTAGCTTTCCATTTATGTTATAAATAATCAAAATACGCTTGTCATCATATATCTTTGAATATTAGATAATTATTGTATTTCATGTATGTCGGCTACAAATTAAAAGATTGCGTATTCTGAATTCATTCAAAATTTGAAAGGAGGATTGTCTATGTTCAAGGAGTATGTATATTTTTTATGAAAGTAGGTATGTCAATAGATTTCTTCTTGAATCGTGGACCAATTTCTATCCAACCAGTTGTTTCCCCGGGACTTCGCCTTTGTAAATTATAGCCCATGTCCAACGAGAATAATATAGCTTCCCTTAGATGAAAGATTTTTATAAATCCAGCCAATAGTTTCGGAGCTTATGCGGAGCAAATAAAAAGCAATGGCATCTTTCCTCTTTATAATTATGTCGAGCAAATAAACAAAATCTTCGTATGTTGAATATTTTTATTTATATAGATCTATATCTATACTAATATAATAAAGGGTAAAGATTTGATTGTTTGTTTGTGACTTCGCGGGCAAAGCCACCGGTGGAAAGCTAGTATTTAATATTTTTAGTGAGATATTTTTTTTTATATAATAATAATATATATATATATATATATATATAAATACTAAAAAGCGTGAAATATAAACTTAAAAATAGAACTAACTTCAAACTTTAAAAAAGTGAGAAAAAATACTCAATAGCGACTTATTCAAGAAAAAGTTATTGAAGTGGCGCCCGAAAGTTTTATCGAAATTCAACTTGTAATGATTTCATTATACAAGAGTAATTTAACCTTTTTGGTTGCATTTAATCAACCTATTTATGTGAATTGATTACCTATCTTAGTTAAGTAACTTTGTATGTAATAACGAGGTGCGGTGTGTGTGTGTGTTGTGTGTGTGCCTTGTAGTGTTGCCGAGGTGGTAGTGTGCGTGGACGCACGTGATCGCGGTATTAAAACAAACTGTGTGTGAGTCACTGATGTCTTAATATTACACATGTCTTCTTTATGTAATAATAATACAACTGATTGATTGATAAAATAAGGCTGAATTTAATGATATACACACGATTATTAAAATAATTTATATATTATTTTACACTATTGTCTGTTTCTAAGGCATGCAAAAAACAAATATTGATTTAATGTGTTTTATTAATCTTACTTTCTTATTTTTTCACATTCAGTAGGTAAACAAAAGTGTCAAAATATTTTTCATGGTAGTGGGAATTTATTTTTCTCAAATGACTTAAAAACATTGAATTCACGACAAACTTACATCGTAATGTTTAATTATTTTATATTCATTTAGTGTTGCTATTTGCACCATAATCGAATTTAAAGCAACGAGAATTTAAACACTACGAGTTAAAGTTAAGGTTTATGTCAAATTTGACAATATCTGTCTTACTGACTAACATTGACTGTGGAATACGTTATAAAAAATAACGTTAACCAGCGAAGTTTTGGTGGTTATAATTTAAAGTTAAAGTTTTGACGTCATCCAACCGTTGCCAAATGATAACTCATTATTATTTACTTTACTTTAACATGTTTGTTATTGGTGCAAGTCGCTCAAAATATATAGAAAATAATATTTTGAATCTCTTTTCATATTAATTATAAATGAAACTGATTTAAATTTAATTGGGAACTCTCATTGTCTATACTTACATATTTTATAAAGGCGTATGTCACAGAACACTGAAAAGAGGTCTATTTGACTATTTATTTATATTTGGTAGCTTCTGAATTTGTAACGTATTCAGATATTACCGAACCTGTTTTGAAGCGGTTTTCACGTTTAGACAAAGTAATGTAAGTAAGAATAGATACAGCTAAGGTGTACAATATTAAGGTTCTGTTTATGTTGAAGGAGGTATGATTTTGAACGTTAAATACGAAAAGATAAAGCAATATTTATTCAAATAAACTTATTAAAAATAATTTTGAATCCAATTTTTTTTACCTGCTATTCGTTCAGGACGTGTTTTCTCTGATAAGAATTCCGAACGGAATAAACTCACCAGCTCCAACAGAACTAATGAAGTTTATTTTTATACTATTTTATTATCAAACCAATATTAACAATACAAAAAAATTATGTGTTACCAACTTTTGACTTTATAAGACTATGAGGTCAATTTCTATTGCAATATTTAAAACTATAAACTCAAAATGCTAAAACATTGTTGATTAAAAATGGCGACAAGTTTATTATAAGTTATTTGCAAAAATATTTTTTTTCTTAGACCTTTTAGAATTTAAATACATTCCATAGAAAAAATAAAAAATATCCTTCAATTATTTTTGATTATTTAAGATTTTCTAAGAACTATTCGAATTTTAAAAAATGAGTTTACTCTCGGGAAGCTGAGAATAAACAACATTTATTTTTTAATATTTATACTAATATTATTTAGAGGAAAGATTTGATTGTTTGTTTGTATATTTGTTTCTTAGCATTGA